TAAATCACTAATAAATTTATGAAAACAGCTCCTTTTTGAATCGAACTAAAAGTACTCGTTTAATTCACTCACCAAAAACAAATCATTTCTGTTTTTTCGCTATTAATTCCGTGCACTTGAAAAAATAATTATTTTTACTACCGCGAATTAATCAAGTTTTTACGGTACTTGGCAGTATTCTGGTGATAACCTCATAAATATCATAAACGATGTGTTTGTTACTACCGGCTAATGCTGAATCTTGTCTAATTTTGCAATGCCATATTTAACATTAACATAAACCGGCTAACTACATGTACCATACCATATGGGTACCATACCCATAAAAACAGATCAGCTGCTCCAAATATGGTTATTTATAAAAACAGTTCAGCAATTGCTGGTACCCATATATGGAAACCACTTAGGCCTGGAGAAAATAGTCTTAGATCACAGCTCAATTTTTTTATATTTTATATACCGGTATTCAAAGATCAGGTTGATCTGTTTTTGTAATTATCTTGCATCGTATTGATCGCTGTGTGCATGGGAAAGTGTGAACATACTGTGTTATCCTCTATCAATTTCATTTATTTTTACTGTTATATAAAGCGATCAAATACAATGTAGTTGTTATACTCACTGTCTCTGTGGGGGTGTTTTCAACCCATCTGTACGCTCTCACCATTCTGTCTGTGTGTCCAACTACGAGCTCACACTGGCCATCATTATCTAGATGTGTTAATACAAATAAATAAAACAAATGATGTAATTTCATTGTTGTGTAAATACATGTATGTTAATGATTGTTGTGTAAACATTTGAATAAATGCTGTGTAAACATTTGAATAAATGTTGTGTAAACATTTGAATAATTATTGTGTAAATATTTGAATAATTGTTGTGTAAACATTTGAATAATTGTTGTGTAAACATTTGAATAATTGCTGTGTAAACATTTGAATAATTGCTGTGTAAACGTTTGAATAAATTGCTGTGTAAACTTTTGAAAAAGTGTTGTGTAAACATTAGAATAATTGTCCACATTTGTGAATGTATTTGAAGATAAAAAAAGTATCATAAAAGGTAGATAAAAGAAATAATTCAACTGTGGTCATAACTTTGAAGATTCATCAGAAAATAGTGTGACAAAAATACATTTCTAGAAATCTAAGTGAGAGAGTCTGTAAAAACATGATCAGGTTCATCTCATGTTGTTGTTTTTTATAGAGGACTGTGTGATCGAAACATAAATTCCATATACCCTTGCAAGTTCACACTGCATAACTACAACATTATCTTCAAAACATATATTTATTAGGAAAGTGGTGCCCCTATAACTCTAACATCTAATTTCTTTCTATTGAATGTTTCTGATTTGTGATTTATAGATACATACTGTATTACACCTAATTGGAGTTCTGTTTTTAAGTTTACTGATTAACCTGGTGAATATGTTTCCCTCATAAACCAGTAATTTCAAAAACTTGTTTATTTTATTCACTCTACCTTGTTATTTTTGATAAACACTAATATATTACTGATGAAGACCCTTGATGTCATTTACTGCATATTGCAAATACAGTGAACAAAATTTACTAACATTTAATTTCACTATTTTGATCATTTAAGCATAATCACTGAGATTTAAGTTCACGAATTTGCCAGGACAACAATAAGTTCTATTGTTATTTTAAGGTTCACATGAATTTAATTTAGATGATTTCACTTTTATTAATAAAATTAATTAAAACCTAGTAAATAATGAATGCATTTACAGTATCAGTAGTGTATGCATGTGAATAACAGGGATGTGTTTATGGTTGATATGAAGTCATATTTTATTGATCCATTGCATAGTACATACTGTATTGCTTATTATTAGCGATGTGCAATTATTACTGGGTACTCTGGGTATATAATGCTTCATATACTCACCTATATCATGAATTAATAACATTTTTGTATTTGCTGGAATATGCTGAACATGATTGGCTATTATAACGTCGTCTTCGACTTTCTCTTGGCCATCCTATTGAACAAAAAATGTTATGACAGGAACACCAAATGACAGGTGGACGTGGAAAACCACATGACAGGTGGACGTGGAACACCAAATGACAGGTGGACGTGGAAAACCAAATGAGAAGTGGACATGGAAAACCAAATGACAGGTGGACGTGGAACACCAAATGACAGGTGGACGTGGAACACCAAATGACAGGTGGACGTGGAACACCAAATGACAGGTGGACATGGAAAACCAAATGACAGGTGGACGTGGAAAACCACATGACAGGCGGACGTGGAAAACCACATGACAGGTGGACGTGGAAAACCAAATGACAGGTGGATGTGGAAAACCAAATGACAGGTGGACGTGGAACACCAAATGACAGGTGGACGTGGAAAACCACATGACAGGCGGACGTGGAAAACCAAATGACAGGTGGATGTGGAAAACAAAATGACAGGTGGATGTGGGAAAAACCACATGACAGGTGGACGTGGAACACCAAATGACAGGTGGATGTGTGAAAACCAAATGACAGGTGGATGTGTGAAAACCAAATGACAGGTGGATGTGTGAAAACCACATGACAGGTGGATGTGTGAAAACCACATGACAGGTGGACGTGCAAAATCACATGACAGGTGGATGTGGAAAACCAAATGACAGGTGGACGTGGAACACCAAATGACAGGTGGACGTGGAAAACCAAATGACAGGTGGACGTGGAAAACCAAATGACAGGTGGACGTGGAAAACCAAATGACAGGTGGACGTGGAAAACCACATGACAGGTGGACGTGGAAAACCACATGACAGGTGGACGTGGAAAACCAAATGACAGGTGGACGTGGAAAACCAAATGACAGGTGGACGTGGAAAACCACATGACAAGTGGACGTGGAAAACCACATGACAGGTGGACGTGGAAAATCACATGACAGGTGGACGTGGAACACCATATGACAGGTGGACGTGGAACACCAAATGACAGGTGGACGTGGAAAACAACATGACAGGTGGACGTGGAAAACCAAATGACAGGTGGACGTGGAACACCAAATGACAGGTGGACGTGGAACACCAAATGACAGGTGGACGTGGAAAATCACATGACAGGTGGACGTGGAACACCATATGACAGGTGGACGTGGAACACCAAATGACAGGTGGACGTGGAAAACCACATGACAGGTGGACGTGGAAAACCACATGACAGGTGGACGTGGAACACCAAATGACAGGTGGACGTGGAACACCAAATGACAGGTGGACGTGGAACACCAAATGACAGGTGGACGTGGAACACCAAATGACAGGTGGACGTGGAAAACCAAATGACAGGTGGACGTAGAAAACCACAAAACAGGTGGACGTGGAAAACCACATGACAGGTGGATGTGGAAAACCACATGACAGGTGGACGTGGAAAACCACATGACAGGTGGACGTGGAACACCAAATGACAGGTGGACGTGGAATACCAAATGACAGGTGGACGTGGAAAACCACATGACAGGTAGACGTGGAAAACCAAATGACAGGTGGACGTGGAACACCACATGATTAGTGGACGTGGAAAACCACATGACAGGTGGACGTGGAACACAAAATGACAGGTGGACATGGAAAACCACATGACAGGTGGACGTGGAACACCAAATGACAGGTGGACGTGGAAAACCACATGACAGGTGGACGTGGAACACCAAATGACAGGTGGACATGGAACACGAAATGACAGGCGGACGTGGAAAACCAAATGTCAGGTGGACGTGGAACACCAAATGACAGGTGGACATGGAACACCACATGATTAGTGGACGTGGAAAACCACATGACAGGGGGACGTGGAACACAAAATGACAGGTGGACATGGAAAACCACATGACAGGTGGACGTGGAACACCAAATGACAGGTGGACGTGGAAAACCAAATGACAGGTGGACGTGGAAAACCACATGACAGGTGGACGTGGAAAACCACATGACAGGTGGACGTGGAACACAAAATGACAGGTGGACATGGAAAACCACATGACAGGTGGACGTGGAAAACCACACGACAGGTGGACGTGGAAAACCACATGACAGGTGGACGTGGAACACCACATGACAGGTGGACGTGGAAAACCACATGACAGGTGGACGTGGAACACCAAATGACAGGTGGACGTGGAACACCAAATGACAGGTGGACGTGGAACACCAAATGACAGGTGGACGTGGAACACCAAATGACAGGTGGACATGGAACACCAAATGACAGGCGGACGTGGAACACCAAATGACAGGTGGACGTGGAAAACCACATGACAGGTGGATGTGGAAAACCACATGACAGGTGGATGTGGAAAACCACATGACAGGTGGACGTGGAAAACCACACGACGAGTAAAACTTAATTAAAACTTAATTATATTGTGCATATTATAGTATTTGAATACTACATTTTTTCTGGTGGAAATTGTTGGTATAACAGGTTGCAATTTATTCATATATTTCTATAATTTTTTTAAAATTTCTATTGCCTACATATCTTGATCAAATTGTTGGTAAAAGTTTATTTTGTGAAAGGTGGAATAAAGGTGACAAAAGCTGTCTTAAAGAGCTTCAAATGAAATGTTTATAGACAAAATTAGTTTTTATGCAAGATCCTAGAGTTTAAATTTCTAAATTAGTTAGAACAAATAATTAAATGCTTCTACATTTACACTACAAATTGTTTACAAATCATAATAGCATGTCGAGCAGAACACCATTCTATTCTAAATCCAACACTTACCTGTTTTGATGCGTCTTGATCACTGCGTGGTTTCACTTCTGTCACATTGAAAATATTACACCAGCCTTCTCCGCTGAGACAAACTAAAAAGTTCTGAAATTAAAAGCACAGTCCATATTTTAAGCTGATTCAGTCCAAAATAAGAAGTTTATCATTCAGTTCTTCATACATTTGTATATGTACTTAATAATATGGGTTTATATGATGAGGATGCAGAAAAATTAAGGTTATCAAACTATTTTTTAAGAAACTAGAAGAGTTTGGAATGACACAGGAGACAGCTTTCAATGGTTTAAGCATTTCTCTATGTCTCAACATTTTACCAGAGAACATAATTTTTTATTCACTTGCTAGAACACAGGTATCTGTTGACCAAATTTAAACAGACATGTAACTGGACAATGTGAATTTTAGATTAGCAAAATTGTGCAAGAACACAATTGTCTGTGAACCAAGTTTGGATCTGATTAGACTACATAAATTTGAGATATAAGCAGGAGTGCATTAAAAAGATGAAAATAACATATTTTTGCCAAACAAAACAGCTGCCATATGAGATACATGGTCTCTGTGTCATTACCTGAATAAATTTCATTTTTACATTATAGGCAAAAATAACTATTTCGATAAACAAAATGGCTGACAGTCAGCCAGTTTTGAAATAATTTCCCTCCCAAAATGAATGTGCCTCAGCATGCAGGAGTTACCAATATTCTAAGTGTTAAACGAATCAGCCTGCACAACTTTAAAAATGTCAGATTTAGGCTATTTGTCAGTTAAAATCTGATCAAAAAATCATAATGTATACTGTAATGTATCAACTATGTACCAAGTTTGAGAAACATACATTGGTCTATGAGCTTTCAGAAAATGTGACGGATGAAAAGGTACACGGAACTCAATCCACAAGCTTCAGTCTGTGAAAAATCAGGGGATGAAAAAATGGGATAATAATGAATAATAAAGTCTTACTTTTCCCTTGTTGCAGACATCTCCAATACCAACACAAGTAACCTAAAGCAAATAAAAAAAGTACAAGAAACATAACCTTGCCTGTATCAGAAATTCAGTTTTGTGAGCAGAGCTATGTTTTACAATTGTAAAAAAAAAAAAATTTGGCTGTCAAATAGATGTTTAGCAAATTTGGCCATTATGTGCATGGAACAGCAATATATATTATATTATTATACACCTGTCACTATAACACCATAAGTTACAACGTGTCGTAATTTTGTGGTATTATACAGGGTATTTTCATCCTATTTTCGAAATATGAAATGACTATGCGCGTAAGCGTCCTCTAATAATAAAAAAAAAAAACATGACTGCAACCAGGGTTTGACCGGACTCCACCGGACAAAAAAGTTCGTTAATTCTGTTCTAAACATTTTGGATTTCGGCATTCCTATTATGTATCCTTGGAAGGAAAAGATGTATAATAATAAGGTTATTACGAGGATACCTCAAAGTATGCACTCAGACAGTACGCCGTCGCATCGACTTCCACTGCGCGCCAGCCCATACTCCCGCTGTACTGTCTTTGTGCATACTTTGAGGTCTCCTCGTTATAAACTTAGACGAGGGTTCTCCAAACCCGCCTATTCACATAGTTCATACCCACTGTAGACTCCGGTCAGTCTAAATGACTATTTTGAACAGTAGGCATAAATCAGCGATTCTGCCGGTGACGGAGAGATAGAATCCAGGTCAGGGAAAGCCCCATGACCCCAAAATTCTCTTCCCCTTACGTCACGAACCACGTGATCGAGCCCATATGGCAGCGCCATAGACGGCTGTACAATCACTCTGGTTCCTTTCTCTCCGCATCGAGGACTTAGACC